ACTCCATCACTGGAGACTGCAGATAAGAATCCTGCCCATCAATCCAACCCCCACAAAAGACTTGAAAATAAGGAGACTGAAGTAGAATCAAGAAGTGGCATCCTAGACCCAAATGAAATGACTTTGAAGAAGGGAGTTTCAAGTACCATAAGAGATATAGAAAGGATACTGAAAAATAACCGCTGAATCTATCTGCTACTCTCTAAACATGCTTTTTCCTAACTCCACACACGTCACTTTTTCTTTCAGTCTAGGCAAAATCTCAGTACTGTCTAATGAATCATATAAAGTTTCTGTTTAATACAAGTCTAAGTCTTAAAAACACAAAATCAATGTTCTTAACATGGGCACAATAGATTTTACAGTGAATAATGTAGAATGCTTTGTCAGGCTGAAGTGATTGTTTTTCTGAAATAAAGTTTCTGACTGTCTTATTTGTGCTCTGTGGGTCCAGAGGAAGAAGCTATTTAAATATATTTCTTTTGTTCTGCCGTAAAGTAGCAATTATTCTAAACTCCCTCCCCACCTCCCTAACTCAAACATCCTAACCAGCTAAACAAAGACCTTAAATTTCTACACATACCCCTTTAAAAACAAAAAACTAAGTTTAGGGAGATAGCTCAATGGGCTGGATGAATGAAATGTATGCATAGAAGACCCAGGTTCAGTCTCCAACATTACATATCATCCCCCAAGCAATGCCAGAAGTCATTCATCAGTACTGCCAGATGTGACCCAAAAACCAAAACAGTAAAAGAGGAAAAAAAAAAAAGAAGATAATCATGGGGTTAGAGTGACAGTACAGGAGGTAAGGCACTTGCTTTGCATGCTGCTGACCCGGATTCAATCCCTAGTGCCCCACATGATCCCCCAAGCCTCACCAGAAGTGATCCATGACAGCAGAGTTAAGAGTAATAATTATAATAATTATTACTAGTCCTAAATACTGATAGGTGTAACCCATACCCCCCCAAAAAAAAGAAAATTTTTTTTTAAAAACAAAAAAAGGGAAAATAATCTAAAAAAAACATAAATCTTGGGGCTGGAGTGATAGCACAGCAATTAGGGTGTTTGCCTTACACGTGGCCGACCCGGGTTCGATTCCCAGCATTCCATATGGTTCCCTGAGAACCGCCAGGAGTAATTCCTGAGTGCAGAGCCAGTAGTTAACCCCTGTGCATTGCTGGGTATGATCCAAAAAGCAAAAAAATAAATAAATAAACAAACAAACAAATCTAAAAGGGAGATGAGAAAGGGATTTGTTGAGCTCTGCACCTACTTTTATGACAGAGTTAACAATTAATTTGTTAAGGTGCCAGAGTGAGAGTACATCGGATAGGGCCTGTGCATTGCATGCAGCCAACCCGCATTCAACCCCAAGATGCCATATGGTCTCCAAGCCCACCAGAAGTGATTCCTGATTACAAAGATGGGAGTAAGTCCTATGTACTGCAGGGTGTGATCCAAAAACCCAAAATACTAACAAGTATTTTATTATTGTTGTTATTATTATTGTTAAAGACTGTGCTTTATTTACATTTTGTCCTCAGACTCTCCAAACAGGAAGTACATTTTCTGATAAACTTTATCTTTCTTAATAGCATAATCAGTCTCAATAATCCATTTGGTGGGGAGAGGTACACCCATCAGAGCTCAGGGCTTAGTCCTGGCTCTGTGCTCTGGGTTTACGCCTCACAGTGCTCAAGGAACCATATGTGATGCTAGGGATCAAATCAGGGTCAGTTACACGCAAGGAAAAAGCATTCCCAGCTGTACTATATCTCAGCCCTTCACATTTCTTTCTGAGTAACAGAAAATTGAATCAGGCCAACATCCTTCAGACCTTTGTAAAATGGCAACAACTCCTGAATAAAATGTGTTTTCCCATCCTTAATCCTTTGCTTCCTCTGCCTGGATGAAATACTGTTCATTGCTCTCCACCTAGCAACAGGCCAAGATTGGACTCTATCTGAATATTACTTCTCTAGGCAATTTGAGTACTTTTCTAGGGTTGAATCAGGGGATGAATCTCCTTTGAGACAACTGCATCCCCTGCTCACATATATCCTAATACTTAACACACTGTGAATTTCCTTGACTCCCTCTCCAGACCATAAATACTTTGAAGACAAGGATAGGACCTCCCAAGTGTATACAAAGTGTATACACTTAATATCTGGATATACCAATCAATAACTATTTATTTGTAGGGGCTGGAGAGGTAGTACAGCAGGTAGGGCACTTGCCCTGCAACAGCAAACTAGGTTCAACACCTAGCATCCCAAGCATACCAGGAGTAGTTCCTGAGTTCAGAGACAGGAGTTAACACTGAGCACTGCTCTTGTGTGGCCCCAAAACAAAAACAAACAAACAAAACCACTGTTTACATGAAAGAAAAGAAAGCTCAATGGGCTGAGCATGGGCTGATACATGAGTTTTGCACGTAGATGGCCCTGGTTTGGCCCTGGTATCCCCTAATTAGTCGTGAATGAAAAAATAAGATTCCAACACCACATATGGTTCCCGGATAACCACCAGGAGTGATCCCTGAACAGACAACCAGGAGTAAAAACCTTAGTTGTGACCAAAAACCAAAATAATTAAAAATCAATATGAGAGGTACTAACCAAGACCAGCTCAGATGTTCTTACTTCGTCCAAGATAACAGCCCATAAAGACTCCCATACCTGGGACTGGAGAGAGAGCACAGCGGGTAGGGCGTTTGCTTTGCATTGCGGCCAACCCGAGTTCGATTCCCAGCATCCCATATAGTCCCCTGAGCACTGCCAGGAGTAACTCCTGAGTGCAGAGTCAGGAGTAACCCCTGTGCAACGCTAGGTGTGACCCAAAAAACGGGAAAAAAAAAAAAAAGGACTCCCATACTTCAGAAAGGAAGAGCAGGCCACTGGATTGATCTCTTTATCTTTCTTTTAGTAGCTGTGTATTCACAACTTTTCTCTAACCTGTTCTTTTTCTCTCCGTTTTTTTTCTTCTTCACTTTCTATACTCCGTAGTTGCATTTAGTTTCCATATTCCCTTTACTGCTCCTCTGTACTCTCTTCACCATGCTATAATTCACTTGGTCACCCTGAAGAATCTATGGACACTATTTCACCAACTAGGAGAACTTAGTCAAAGTTGTGCTGTAATGCCTAGTCACTTATTGTACAGCATCAACATATTTCTTACACTTCTAAAGAAACTATGAAGTGACTCCATAACAGCAATGCATGGTTATGACGACATGAGGTCAACTGTTAATAACCACAAAGTGGGTAAGACATGTTCTGAGGCTGCACTCTTCAGCCTTTTTTTCCTCCTAAGAGAAAAAGTGGGGAAGGCCCAAAGGGAAAAGGGTCCTCTCAATTTACTATAATTGTTTAAAAAAAAGAAATGGGAAGCTAAATTTGAAGGAGAAAAAGAAACCAAGGTTTTGGGGAAAATGCTGCATATTGATAGGGCAAATAAAAATTACAGTAATAGAATCGGGGGTGTGGCTGAGCAGTAGAGCACTTCACTTGTATGGGAGAGGCCCTGGGATTGAGTCCCAGAACTGCTAAAAGCAGTAATAAAGGCTTGCTCTCTCCAGCCTATTCCTTCCCCGGAACATGTATCTTGTCTCTTTACTTCCTTGCTTGCCCTTTCAAGCCTGTGTTCTCCTTGAGAACACAAATCTATCTTTTTCAACTATTAAGAAACCCATGTTTTCTCATGAACACAGTCCTTTTTCTCCCCTCGCTTCTAAATAAATTTCATTAAATAAAAACTATCCTGCTTCAGGAGGGATTTTGCCTTGCATGTGGCTGACCCAGGTTCGATCCTCAGCATCCCATATGGCTCCCCAAACACCAGGTGTGACCCAAAAAGCCACACATTGTTTTACTAATGTGTATGATGAGCCAGGTTAAAAAAGAAGAAACTGTGGTCCCTATTCCCCAGGAAACTAAGTTCACTTGAGGAAATCATTCCAACCATTTCCGAAAACCATAAATGCAGTAAGAGAAAAGGAGTATTTGGTGGGGGAGAGGGTGGGAGATAAGGGAAGGTCATACCCAGCAATGCTCAGGGGTTACTCCTGGCTCTGTACTCAGGAATTAATCCTGGTAGTCCTCAGGGGACCATATGGGATATGGGATGCCTGGGATCAAACCCAGATTGGTCTTTTATAAGGCAAATTCCTCCCTACCCACTGGACTATCGAATAGCTCTGACCCCCAAATATGTTAATCCAGAAGCTAAGAAGTTGAATGCTGCAAGTTTGGGGTAAGAAAAAATAAAAATTGAAAGGTTTATTTTGCGCGTGGAGTTACTCCTGGATCTTGTATCTGTACTCAGGAACTACTCCCTGTGGGATCAGGGAACCATATAGGGTGCCAAGGATCAAACCCAGGTTTGGCTGCATGCAAAGTAAATGCCCTACCTGCAATACTATCACTCTGGTCCCGTGGATGAAAAGTTTTTAAGATAAAAAATTATCTCATGTGTTAATGTCAGTGCCACAGCCTCAGAAACCAAGGAAAGAGGGGCTGGAGTGATAGGACAGCAGGTAGGGCGTTTGCCTTGCACATGGCCGAACTGGATTTGATTCCCAGCATCCCATACGGTCCCCTGAGCACTGCCAGGAGTAATTCCTGAGTGCAGAGCCAGGAATAACCCCTGTGCATTGCCGGTGTGACCCCAAAAAAAAAAAAAGAAAAGAAAGGAACCAAGGAAAGAAATGGCGCACAACTATTAACAGAATCAGCTCAGGATCCTAACAAGCTGTATAACACTAGGTAAAGAACTCTCCTCCTCTGATCCAGACAATTCTTCCATAAAATGTGCATAATACCTTCCTGGAAAGTATGTTGTCTGTGATGATTAATGTGAAATCACTTTGAAAGGTCTTATATAAAATGCCAAGGTGAAGTAGCAAAAAAACTTCCTCAGAATGAAGTATAAATCCTGCTAAAGTCTAAGTCTGACTCACCTTCCCAAACCCCTTAACCAATGTCCAATACCTGATTGAGAGAAGAGTCATCTGTGAGGTTCCATGGGTGCGGCTATGACTATTTAGTCAGTTGCTCCATATCTCAGTGACTTCATCTGTAAAATGGGTGGTAGAATTCATGTTGAAATCTTGTGGAACTCACGTGTCCACAAGACGGAGTAGTTCTAAGGAAGGAGGTGGAAAATTTGTCACAGAGGAAAAAAATATTCATATAACCCTCCTCGCTAGGGATGAATTATCAAGATCATCAAATATCATCACTCCCTGAACAGATTTATAAGGGGCTTTAGAGACAATTTAATCTCATTTTATAGATGGCAACAGCAAGATCTAGCAAATGAACTGGGTTGAGGTCGAGCTATATATAGTACACCAGGTAGGCCTTGCAACGTGCCCAACCCAGCTTCAATCCCCGGCACCACAAATGGTACCCCAAGCCCACCCAGAGTGAGTCCCTGAGCACAGAGGCAGGAGTAAGCCCCAAGCATGTCAGGTGTGGCCCATTTACAAAATAAAATTTAAAGGAATAAAAAGGAAATGAACTGGGTTATAGAAGACTCAGACCCAGTCAGTAAGTGACAGAGTTGAAGCTATGAGAGCCTGTTCTTATCAGGTAACAGGGTCATCCAAGGTACTTGTGGCCTATACAACACATTATTAATATGAGACACTTTACAATTCAAAAAATACAAGTGCCCTACCCTCAGCAGTACAATGCATAAGAGGTTGCCTTGCATGTGGTTTGATTCCCAGCACCGTGAATAGTTCCCTGAGCCTGCCAAAAGTGATCCTTGAGCACTTCCGGGAGTGGCAAAAGAAAGAAAAGAAAAATTTAAGACTACTTACTGCCAGACTATTTCTGGCAGTAAAGACAATCTTGGGGAGAAGAGACCTGATAGATAAGAAAAAATTAAGATTGGCAGAAAAGGCTTAAAATAGGCAACTTGAGGGGGGAAGTAGCTGATCAATAAATTTCCGTTAGGGCAAAATAGGTGATACTATGAATCTGGGTATTTTTTTCCCTACCACTAGGAATCTAATCCAGGATCTCACACATGCATTCAACCAGAATCACATCCCATCTTGGATCTAGCTAATTCGGCAAAGCGGGCGGACGATCACACCTGAGGGTGCTAAAGGCTTACTCCTGGCCCAGGCTCAGGGGTCACACTTGGCAGGGCTCTGGGGGCCATATAGGATGCTAGGGATCAAACCCAGGTTGGCCTCATGCAAGGTAAGTGCCCCACACCCTGTGCTATCACTCTAGCCCCAGAATCTGGCTTTAATTCTTAATTAAATGTAATTTATTCCTTGTCTCTCAAATTTTTAACTTTTGCTCTTAAATTTCCTGATCAACTCTTATCTCCCCACAAACAAGACGTTCTACAGAGACCATATTTTGCTCCATTGTGAAATAGTAGTGAAATCATCTCTGGATTCAGATTGACAATACATATTCAAAGTCTTGCCTTGCTACTTAATGACTCTGTGATCTAGGCCAAACTCCTTCACCTCTGTGTACCTTTGTGGAATAGAAATAATATCCCTATGCTAGATCTGGGGAGGTTAAATATACTACTCATACTGGTCACAACCTAATAGTGGACTTTAATCACTTTAGTTTTTATTCTTTTTTTTTTTTTTGGAGGAGGATGGAAGAAAAAAAGAAAATGGAGGGCTGGGAAGACAGCGCAAATCGCTAGTGGACTGAGCCAATGCAATGCATGGTTCCCAGAGCACCAACGTGAATAGACCAAAAAACAAAACAGTAATACAGAACGGAAATTACCAGAGAAAACTGCATGTAGTGAAAATAGTACTGTTTTGCTTCTTCTGTATACATATGTTCATATATGTACAAACTGTTATATTCCTTGTGGTAGTTTATGCTTCGGTATTTTCGTGTTTTTTGTTTTGGGTTTTGGACCACAACTGGCTATGCTCAGGGTTTACTCCTGGCTTTGCACTCAGGTATCATTCCTTGCAGGTTCAAGAGACCGCAGGGGATGCCCAGGATTAAACACAGGTGGGTCATGTGCATGGCAAGTACCCTATCTGCCGTACTACCACTCTGGCCCTGTGGTAGTTTGTTTTGAAAGATGTAAAATAGGGCTAGAAAGATAGAACATCAAGCAGGGCTCTTGCATTCTAGGGTTCCACAGCCTACTAGGGTTAAACTCCCCACACCGCGTATGGTTCCTGCGGCATCACCAGAAATGACCCCTGAGCAGAGCCAGGAGTGAGCCCTGAGCACTTCAGGGTGTGGTCTAAACTGCCCTCGTGCCCCCTCCTCCCCCAGGTGAGAGTCACTAAATAAATAATGCATAAAATAAAGTTTGAAACAGTGCCTGGCACATAGTAAACTCAGTGCTAGTATCATCATTGTTGCTGTTCCGCACCTATTAAAGGTATGTGTAGCATCCTAAAAAGTGAAAGTACTCTGGGAAGTCTACTATGTGACACTAGTGCTAAGCTAAAGGAAGCAAAAGGAAACAAAATGCCCTCACACAAGTAAAGCTCTGTTTAGGCACAAAGTTGTTGCCTACCCTACAAATTATCTGTTACATTGAAGAGTCCACAGACTATGATTTATCTAGCATTCAGTCATGTTCTGTCAATATTTGCAAAGAAATAAATGAAGGCCTGGCGCCAGAGTAAAATTATTTTTTACCTGGTTGGGACACTGGGGTGGGGAAGACAGAAGTCATGCCCATGGAAGCTGAAGGAAGCTAGTGAGTCATACAGAGAAATTGTTTGCTCCTACAGAGCCAGGAAGACCCGTGGATACGTGGGCCTTTAGACATGCTGAATCACTTCCCCCATCCTCTCCTCACCTAGTCACCTCATAAAAATTAGCATGAGACCACCTAAGCTCTGCCTGGTTTCTGACCAACAGCGTGAGATAACGTATGTTTTAAGCTACGAAATTTGGGGATTTTGTTATGGATAATAAGAGAAAAGCATGAGGGCCTAAGAGATACAACGGGATCAAGGCACACACAGCCAACACTCCATCTCACACTCCCTCCCTACCCCCATTTGGATCCTGGGATCACATGGTTCCCCAGGGCCACAGGATGCCCCCAGGATTATTTCGTGTGGGTCCCCAAACCAAAGCAAAAAATACCACGGAGCCTTAACAGATATAGTACCTATCAGGAGAAATGGGAAATCCTCGAAGAGAGATGGCTAAGCGCTTACGCTCAACCTGAACTCTGAAACTGCGCTTAAATCACTCTACTTTTATTTCCAGAAAGTACTGGATTTTGTTCGGTTTTTGTTTGGCGGTCACACCCGGCGGTGCTCTGAGCTGACTCCAGGCTCCGAGCTCACAGGTCCAGCACAAGGTTCTGAAGGAACACATGGGACGGTGAGGACCCAACACGGGTGGGCCACATGCAAGGCAAGCGCCCTACCCGCTGTACTATGGCTCCGGCCCCCACTAACAGAAAAATGTTGAAAAAAATGCGCTCACCAATAAGGAAATCAGAAGGTCTGGATTCCATCCTCGACACTGTCTCCTCCACACTGAGTGACCTTGAGTTAGTCATTTCATCTCTCTGGTTCTAAATGATTTTGTCTGTTAAAAGAGAGAGAGAGAACTGTAATATCACCTACCTGATGATCATCGTAAAAATAAGGGTCATGGAAGGCAAAATACCAGCACAGAGCCGGGCAGAGTCGGGCATGATGCCCTTCTGCACTTGAAACGAAATGAGTTTCCCGGCCGGTTGGCCCGTGAGAAAAAAAAAGGGACCCAGCGTCCATGTCCTCTCAGAGAAAGTGTCTTTTTTTATTACTGTTATTATTTTTTTTATTAAGAGCGTGCTGAAACCGTTTCCTCGTCTCTCCAGCCCAATGGCCTTATGTGAGGCATCTAGGAAAGCCGTGATCGCTAAAACATGTTGGTACTGGGGGTCCCAAATCACCCCCTGATTGCTACAGCCCTCCCCTGCCCGCGTCTCATTAGCCCTCATTAAGCTGGAAAAGGGCGGACGAGCGGTGCGCAGTTCAGGCCATTTGACGCCATTCGGGTTCCTAGCTCAAATGAATGAATGGGCTCTTATTAAAATTCGCCAGCCGGGAGCGGGAGTGTAGAGCCCCGGGTGATAGTGGCCCCCGAGGCGCGGGGGAGACCCCTCCCCCCAACCCCCACCCCGAGCCGCGCGGGCGCTGTGGTGTGGAGCGGGAGGGGGTTGCGTTCTAGAGCTTTCGGGCCGACCCTATTTTTTCGTTAACGACGACTCCGGGTATCGTATGCCGCCATTTTGTAGGCAGGAAACATGGCGGCCGCCGCCGTGGGGAAGGGGGAAGGGAAGGAGGGGGCCGCCACGTTAGCCGCCTCGGCTTGATGGCCGCGGGCGCACGGCGCACACGGCCTCTCCCTGCTGGCCGAGCTCAGGAAGAGGAGCAGGGTTCCCCAATGACAAGGCGTTATTACACCAGCGTCCCGGCGACCTTCCCCTCGCCCGAGGAGCACGCGGTGGCGACACCCGGCAGGAGCGGCTTTCCAAGATGGCGGCGCCCCGTCAAGGGGCCGCCCCCGGAGCGGGCGCGGCGGCTGCCCCCGAAGAGGAGAGGCCTGAAGGGCAGCCGCCGAGTGCAAAGCGCGCGGGGAGAAGCGCAGGCACCCCCCCACACACACACACACACACACGCACACACCGCACCCCCGCAGCCCGGGCCCGTATCCCCCGAATTAAAAAAGCGCCTCTCGGGAACGCATCGTGGTCTTAAGCGTCCACCGAGGGCGCCGCAACTGAAAACACCGGGACAGGAGGTGGGGCTTTGGCGGGGTTTTAACCGGAGACTTGCAAGACGCAAACAAAGCATTATGTAAATGGACGCCATTCTTTTGACGCCCGCGTTCACAGCACTGCGCCCCCCCCCCACCCGAAAAAAGAAAAAAAAAAACGATCAGAGCCGCTATTCGGGCGACGTTGGGGGAGGGTCTCGGCGTCCCGCCTCACCGGCCGCCGCCGCCACGGGGCCGGGACCGGGTGGGGGATGGCGCGGGCCGCCGGGACGCCAGGGACGAAGAGGCCCCACGTGCCCGCCCGCGCGCGCGCCCGCCCGCCCCGCGGGCCTCGCCGAACCGCCCTTCCCCCCCGGAAGGCCGCGGCGGCCCCTCCCGTCACCCCATACCCCGGCGCATGCGCCCTGGCCGCCTCACGCGCACGTTTTAAACCCGCGGCGTCCCAGCTGCCGCCTGCAGTGACCGGCGGGGCTGCCCGAGTCGCTCCGCACCAAAAAACCACCCTCATAGGCCCGAAAGTAACGTGTCACCCCCGCACACCCCACGAACATCTCCAAATGGCCGCCCGTGCCGCTACGCGCAATAAAAATATGTGTCCGTTTTAAAACTGCCGGACGCGCCCCTCCGGCCCATCGGGGCGTTATTTTCAATGCCAGGCCACCCCGGGGTTTTTTTTTTCCGCGCGCCCCGCAGGGGTTGGCGCAATCGCGTGACCTAAAAAGGACGGGTCCTCGATTTTTTTCAAGGGGTCCTGCGCGGCAAGCACTTCCGGGGTCAGAGGGTACGCGGGGTTGAAAGCGGGCTTCCCGCCCCGCCCAGACCGCCGAGGCTGCCGCTGGAGTCGCCACCGCCGCGCCCTCGCCCACCCGCCCGCCCGCCGCTCCCGGCCCCGCTCGCCCCCTCCGCCGCCGCCGCCCGCTCCTGCGACGACGCCGCGGCCTCCCGCCCGCGCCCGCTCGCTCCCGCGGCCCTCGCTCGCCTCGCGCCGGCAGTTTTGGGCCTACACCTCCCCTCCCCCACGCCCGCCGCCAAAGACTTGACCACGTAACGAGCCCAACTCCCCCGAACGCCGCCCGCCGCTCGCCATGGATGCCGGTGTGACTGAAAGCGGACTAAATGTGACTCTCACCATTCGGCTGCTGATGCACGGAAAGGAAGTGGGAAGCATCATTGGGAAGAAAGGGGAGTCGGTTAAGCGGATCCGCGAGGAGAGTGGCGCGCGGATCAACATCTCGGAGGGGAACTGCCCGGAGAGAATCATCACCCTGACGGGCCCCACCAATGCCATCTTTAAGGCCTTCGCGATGATCATCGACAAGCTGGAGGAAGACATCAACAGCTCCATGACCAACAGCACGGCGGCCAGCCGGCCCCCGGTCACCCTGCGGCTCGTGGTGCCGGCCACCCAGTGCGGCTCCCTGATCGGGAAGGGCGGCTGCAAGATCAAAGAGATCCGCGAGAGCACGGGCGCCCAGGTGCAGGTGGCGGGGGATATGCTGCCCAACTCCACCGAGCGGGCCATCACCATCGCGGGCGTGCCGCAGTCGGTCACCGAGTGTGTCAAGCAGATCTGCCTGGTCATGCTGGAGACGCTCTCGCAGTCTCCGCAGGGGCGAGTCATGACCATTCCGTACCAGCCCATGCCGGCCAGCTCGCCGGTCATCTGCGCGGGCGGCCAAGATCGCTGCAGCGACGCGGCGGGCTACCCGCACGCCACCCACGACCTGGAGGGACCCCCGCTAGACGCCTACTCGATTCAAGGACAACACACCATTTCGCCGCTCGACCTGGCCAAGCTGAACCAGGTGGCAAGACAACAGTCTCACTTTGCCATGATGCACGGCGGGACCGGATTCGCCGGAATTGACTCCAGCTCTCCAGAGGTGAAAGGCTATTGGGCAAGTTTGGATGCATCCACTCAAACCACCCATGAACTCACCATTCCAAATAACTTAATTGGCTGCATCATCGGGCGCCAGGGCGCCAACATCAATGAGATCCGCCAGATGTCGGGGGCCCAGATCAAAATTGCCAACCCAGTGGAAGGCTCTTCTGGTAGGCAGGTTACTATCACTGGTTCGGCCGCCAGTATTAGTCTGGCCCAGTATCTAATCAATGCCAGGCTTTCCTCTGAGAAGGGCATGGGGTGCAGCTAGAACGGTGTAGGTTCACTCATAACCCTTTCTGCTGTTTTTCCCATGATCCAACTGTGTAATTTCTGGTCAGTGATTCCAGGTTTTAAATAATTTGTAAGTGTTCAGTTTATACACAACTTTATCATCCGCTAAGAATTTAAAAAAAAATCACCTTCTCTGTTCAGCAGTTAACGCTGGGATTCATATTTAGTTTTATAAGCTTTTCCCTGTTTTTAGTTTGTTTGGGTTTTGGCTCATGAATTTTATTTCTGTTTGTCGATAAGAAATGTAAGAGTGGAATGTTAATAAATTTCAGTTTAGTTCTGTAATGTCAAAATTTAAAAAAATTAAAAAGTGGATTGGTTAAAAAATGCTTCCTATTTGAAAAAGCTGGGAACTGCTATCGAAACTCTTTGTTGGTGCCTTTTTTCTTCCCTTTCAGTGCTAGGTGTCGGTAGGGAGACGGGTAGGCCCTCGGCATTCTCCGGCCCTTTTCACCTTACTGGTGAGATTCGTTTCCTCCTCGTCCCAACAAAGGAACCCGGCAGGCAGGGCCTGCTTCGGGATATTTGCAGAGACGGTCTCCCAAGAGACGTCCCTCCAGCCAAGTTCCAGAGAGAGGCCTCTGCCCATTTCTCTGATAGGAAATCAGGCTTTTGCCCTTCGGATCGGACCCCCAGTGCACGGCTGTGAGTCTCCCTCCTCACCCGCCCACCCCCATCTCCCAGGGAAAACTCAGAACAAAAAAAATGTTATGCGGTGGGAGGAGCCTGGGGGGGCCTAGTGAGCGGCGGGGGAGGGAAGGGCTGGACTGGGAGGGAAAGATGGGGGCGGGGAGGGGAAGGGGCAATTGCTTTGGGGTGGTGGGGGTAGAGGGAGGGGTTGGGGTTGGGCCGCCAGAGTGGGGGATGGTACCAGCAGGGGCGCACGTGGCGAGCATGCACCTGTGGCCGGCAGCCTGTCAGGATGTTATTACACCTGCCAAGTGGCCGTATCCAGAAACAAAAGGGGCCCAGCTTCTAATCCTTCAGCTGTGTGCAATGTTTAGAGAAATCGGTACCAGGAAATAATTGTGCCCCTCACGGGCAGGAATGTAGATTGGCCCATTGATTGCGACTTAAGAATGACCTTGGTATTGAAATTGGGGATTCCTGGGTCCCAACCCAAACCTACCCAGAAGACTGCATTTTCACACTCCCAACGTGTTCTTATATCTGGGTGCCATGATTTTCTTTCCCAGCAGATTAAGAAGATCCTGCTATAAAGACTCATCCCCGTCAGCCTGTGGGACTAGGCTGGACCTGATAAAAGAAAAATTCTCAGGCTAATTAAATTTTTTTTAATTCTCCATTAGGCTAAAATACTGAACACTAAAACAACTGTAGAAGACAATAGATGATTAGGTGCCAGAGTGTGTAGCTGAAACCCCCAGGCACTGTGGGAGATCACTAACAGCAGAGAGAAATTCCTGTGGGAGGAGAGTATTAACCATGATAAATATTTGTTGAGAACTATTCTCCACAGTCCATCCATTTCTGAAGTATAGAACTGGTTCTAAAAGTTCCTGGAGGTAAGATGGGGGGACAGGGAGGGAGGGGTGTCCCATATTTTATAGCCACTTGTGGGTTAGGCGGGTAATCACTGAAATCCAGGATTCCAGTTTGGGGAAATTAAACCTAAATTCATAGTCTGGGGGAGAGAGAGAGAACTAAAAAAATACCTGGTATGCACATTTGGTTTTGGTTTGGGGGCCACACCTGACAGTGCTCAGGAATTACTCTTGGCTCTGCACTCAGAAGTTTCTCCTGGCAGGGCTCAGGGGGACTTTAAGCGGTGCTGGGGCTTGAACCTGGGTCAGTCATTTGCAAGACAAGTGCCCTACCCTCAATGCTATTGCTCAGGCCTTGGAGTGCACATTCTATATTTCTGTAGCTCTGGGTTCAATCCCCAGCACAACATGGTCCACATGGTCCCCAAGTACCATCAGAAGTGCCACTCTTCCCCCCCCCCCCAAAAAAAAGGCCTAAATTTAAATTTGAGTTCTGCACCTAAATTCAAGATTGAGTTCTGCACTTGTAAGCGTAGGCAAATTACTTAACCTCTCTATAAAATGGAGGTATTAAAGGTACACGAATCCTGGACTTGGGATGGTAGGAAAAGTGTGTATATTATTAAGATCTGATTAAAACACTTGAAACCTTTAAGCTACCTCTGGGGTCAGAGAGATAATACAGAAGTCAGGCTCTTGAGATTTTATATATATATATACATATATATATATGCAGGATTTGATCTGCATCGAATGTAGTCCACAGAGTACCTTCAGGAATGAGCAGAAATAGACCCTGAGCCCCTCTGGGTGTGCTCCAAACTCCCGAAAGAAAAAGGGTTAATGTGTGTGCTACAGGCTCAAGTGTGATCCCTGGGACTAATCTAGCACTGTGCCAGTAGCCCCCACCTCTCTGCGTATGTCCAAAAACAAAACTTTAGTGTACCCAGAAGTCCATTTCTACCCACAGTATCTAGTCAAAGACATATTTAAAGATAGCAAGCGATGCGATTTGATAATAATCTTTTATTATTAAATATTGCTAAAAAGCTGAGAGAAAATAGACAAAAGGACTAGGATAGGTAGAAGAGGTTAAAAAATAAGTGGAAATAGCAAGGGCCATCAGAGACCGGAGAACTAGTACCAAGAGCTTAGGCACTTGCTTTGCATGCATTTGATCCCCAGCACTGTCTAGTCCCTCACTAACAAGAGTGAACCCTGAGCACAGAGCTGGGAGTAAGCCAGGTGTAACAATCACAGGGTGTTATGGAATAGAGCAGGAGTGGAATGATACTGAACTCTTGTTCGTTGTTTTTGCTCTGGGGCCACAATTGGTGTGCACAAGGGCTTATTCCTGGTTCTGTGCTCCAGGATCACTCCTGGAGGGCATGGGGGACCAAATGAGATGGCATCGACTGAACTTCCGTTGGCGTATGCAAGACTAATGCCCTGCCTGCTGCACTATCACTCTGGCCCCAATATTGAATTCTTAAACAGTGGATCAAATGATTTTTTTGAGGAGTCCCTAAAACTTCCAAAGTGAAGTAATGGAAAGTAGGCCTAAGATCAAATAGAGAACTGAACCAGGCTGGAGTGCTTGCTTTGTGTGCAAGAGATCTGGGTTCAGTCTCTGGCACTGAATGGCCCCCC